TATTCTCATACGAAAAATTTTAGAAGTTGTAATGCAGATATTTCTTAGCCAATGAAAAATGTGAGGAAGCTATACTGACCTTACTTGGCAGACTTTTTTTTTTATGTATTGACCTGAAGGCAAAAAGACCTTGCGTGATTCAGCTGTTAGACGCACTAATCATCCACTCGCATTGCTCGATGTATTTGAAGCGTTTTTGGCTATTAGCATTAATAATATTTCATTCAGAACTGTTTAAGTAGTTACCGAAAATGACTTGCTGAGTTATTGTAACAGTTCCAACAGTGAGCTGAGCTGTATTGTTGTTTGCCATAGTTGGACGAGTATTACTGACAATATTTCCCACAAGCACGAAACTGCAACAATCCCGAATCAAGATAAACTAGATTTGAAAACAAAATTGAATTTGCTAGTTTGTTTACCATGCGTTTGGTTCTTCTATTTCTCATTTGTGAAATTAATATAAGAAAGACAAGGTTGATCGTCGATTACGGACACGATATTGGTAAAATATTTGACCTTCGCTTCAAAAATATATATTATTTGTTCTTAAATGATAAGAACCAGTAATCTTAGAGCATTTAGGTAATCACACAGAATCTAACAAGTGTTTGGACAAGCCAGCTAAACTGCAACAACTATAGTATTTAGAAGGAAGTAATTTTATACTTTATTTATTTCATTTTTTTTTTATTAGGAGTTTCTATTAATAGTGGGTTTCCTTAACCTAAAGTTCTTGGATGGCTTCTTTCCATAATGTCCTATCTAAGGTCCATTCTTCCCGTAGATCATGACCCATCATGGATTCCTGCACTTCGTTATCCCAGGTCTTCCTTGTCTTCTTCTTTCCATAGTTTTCCATAAGTGGAATTCTTTGGGTAGTCTTCCTTCAGGCATTTATTTATTTTATAACACTAATTATTCAGTATTTACAAAATGGAACAGGAACTATCATATAAGCTCCACTATCTTTAAATTATATGTTCTTAAATCCACTTATAGGGATTTAAATCAGTAGCTAATAAAAAAAAAAAAAATGAATGAAAAGATTTCCTGTCTGATTAATATTTCATGATACTGTGATGATATTCAACAATGTATTTTTATTTTCACTTATCTATACATGAAATAGTTTTCAACAGAAATATATGTTATGTGGTCATATGAGTTCAAACCTGTGTGATTTGTTTTTTAGGGAAGAGATAAACATATGGTTATAAACTTTTATAATTTACTGCAGTTTAATAACATTAAAACCGGCATTAGATTTTATAATAAGATACCGTCGATTTATTGCAAAAAATCATTACGTAACGTATTGGAAAATTTAATCAGTAAGAAATTTCATGAATTCCTCTACGCGAAATCACACCATTGTACACATTTGCATTAGTTTGATTAATTTTGACATATAACAGGGTTTGCGTTATTCTCATCCACTTAAAAGTTTTTTCCATTGAGAAGAAATACGATCGAAATTCATAGATATGTTTTTTTTTTTTTTTTTAATTTAGCTACAATAGAAAAAGAATTCAAGGATTTTTTTTAAATAATCCAGTATGAGCAGAAAATTATTTCTACTAAAAGTAGAGTGGTAAGTGAAAGTTTTGTGATACACGCACCATTGATTTATATTATTCCCTCATTGGCAAAGGTACGGAAGTTCTGTATTCATGTGGGAGGTTAAAAAAATGTTTTTCGCCACGAACTTTTATTTTGATTTCATTTTTCTTTCTATACGCCTGGATTATGTTGGCTTAGTGAGCCATTCATTTCTTGCAGCCTAATATGATTCTGCAAATTCAGCGTGTATGATTTCGTCATCATTTAAAAGAGACGCGTAACTGCTTTCCCATCCATCTCTTCAAAAGAGAGTTGCAAAAGAGAGCAGAATGCTTAAGAATTAAGAATCTGCAATTCCTTTCACTTTGACTGTAAAACATTTATTTATGTACTCTGCCGCTAAGACCGATATTATGAAATATTAATAATTTCGTTTGATTATTTATTTATTTATTTTTTCAATGGATTACTTGTTTATTGATAAATATTAAAACCTGTCTCAATAAAGGACATTTATAATAGAGTTCAGAGAGCACATTCACACCATATTTTCAAAATCAAAAAATATATATGAATTCAATAATAATTCAAAATAATATACAGCGAAATAAGAACAAAATAAAATATCATAATGAAGGAAGAAAATATAAATAATAGTAATAATAAAATAAAAATAAATAAATAAAATAATTAAATTGATCTTAATAAAAAAGTAATAAAAATAAACATCTTAGACGCATACCTAAGTACATTATTTACAATCGGCCATGGAAACTCCAAACCAGACTTGTCCTCCCACTTGTGGAGGGAAAAGCGAGGCTTCAGGAGATCCCTACGCTTCTCCTTCAACCACTTCACTGTTATTAAAAACCAGCGGAGGTTGAGTAAGGGCGCTACAATCACAGACACTCATGACTTGAGTGGAGAATCAAGCCATTGCCAGAACTCCAATATATACATATTACAAAAGGTTACGGGGCCACTGCCGTTTTAACCTGCGAGGAGGATTGTAGGGATGAGTGGTGCTGATTATTTATTAGACAAAATTTAATTATTATTATTATTGTAAAAAAAAAATCATTCGCTCCTTTTGGAAACTACCCGAAAAGTGTGGAGAATTAAGTGAAATTGATATGGTTTTTTTTTATGCTGGTACGAATATATTTTTTTTTAATACTAGAAAATGGAAAAAAAAATCGATGGTCTCTGTCTAAATCAGGGACGCACCCAGAATTTAATTTTGTGCGTTCTTTTTTTATTTATTTTACTATTTTTTTAATAACTTTTAAAAACATTTTTTAATATTTTGATTACGGTGTAACTATTGAAGAAAAAGAAAAAGCTATATAAAATAATGTTTAGGTATCAGTAGAAGAGGAGACTTCAGCCCCAAAGCCCCCCACCACACTTGGATCCGCCTTTGGTCCAAGTAATATTCAATGTAGTTATGTCATTTACAGATTGAAAAACTTTCATGAATCAGGAGAAACAAAAATAAGCTTGCGTCATCAAAATGACACAAACCCCACCATCCCCACATATATTATTACAGTAAGGCTCGAAATCGGTTTTGTACCAAATATAAGCTCCTGTTTTGAGATAACGAAAGGCATAGGGTTCGCATTCACACAACCTTATGTTAATTGTAGTACTGTCATTGAATAGATGTCTCATTTCGTCGACTTGAGGCCCCTGTGATCGAGAGAGGAAGTTTATATTATTTATCGATGATGTTTTTGATCGGCAAGCCACTTCATCATTTTTTCTTCACCAAATCCCAGATTGAGCCACCAATTTTGAAGGCTTCCTTCTCCTTCAGGCTGGCAGAACATTCCAATCACCCAGAAAATTCAGGCAAACAAGTTATGAAATAAAAGAAACTTTATCTGCGAATAACTAAAAAATTGCGCACTTTTCCCTACAATTTCCTACAAAAGGAAAAAAAAAATCATTTAAATCGTACAATTTTTAGCAAAGGTACAGCTTATTGAAATTTTTAAAAATTGTTGGTTCCAAACATTAAGTTAGTTTTAAATTAATTTTTGTTTCCTTTGTCGATTATATTTATCGATAAAGTAACAATTGATTTCTTCATCTTATTATACGTTGCATTATTTTCTTTTCTTATTAATTTGCCATTTGATTACTTAACAATATGCTGTGCGAATTTTTCGTACGGGCCTACTAGTAAATTTAAAAAGGTAGTAGCGCTATGTTCTGATTTCATGTAGAGAAAATTATTCTAAATACTTAGTAAATCAAATTTTTTAAAGTGTTACTTAATGACTTTTTTCAATAAACCCACGAAATACAATTGTGAGGAAACAGAACAGAGATTAAAAGAATAGAATATTTATAATACGCCAGACATTGTAGAACGTCTCATGCGTAGACTTTTCCGCTTTTATTACAGTTAAATTTAGAAATCTTCGATATTTGTTAATTTGAGGGTGAATATCACTTGGCAAACGATGACAAACCCCTTCTTACTGAAATAGTTTTATACATAGGCGCAGATCACGGGGAGCGATTCCTCTCTCCAAATAATTTGATGTAAAAAAAAAAAAAAATTAAAATTAATAACAAGTAAGCTGCATGAATGAATATAATATGTTAACTAAAATTTATTAAGAAAAGTCGATTAGCTGGCTATCTTAAAGCCTATAAGAACGTGCGTAACTATTTTAAAGAAAGAAGATGGTCCGGGGTGGCGATCGTAAATAAGCTAAATAGTGGTAAAACTATTTTATTAAAAGCCTCTAACACACCTGTAAGTCTCTAATTTTATTCTTCCATTTTATTTACTTATTTATTTAATTTTTTTTTTTTTCTTTTCTTTCTCCACATTCCTTTTATGTCTATTATTTCATATTGTATCCTTTTTCCTTTTCTTTCAATCTATCATGTAGATCTGTAGAAGTATATTCACATTTGCATTTATTTTTTTATTACACTACAACATTTGTTAGCATCTATTTACTACAGTAAATAAATCTATTTACTGTAACATCTAGTAACATCTATTTACTTACTAGACTTTCAATAAAATAATTTTACCACTATTAAGCCTATTTATGACCGCCACCCCGTACCATCTCCTTCCTTTATAATGCAACGGTCAACTATTAAATATTCAATGTAACTATTTTATCACGACCTAAATATTTCTATTACTTAAATTTTCATTTATATTCAGGAATAATAATATATGGTTCCAGACATAAAATGTTATAATAATCATTCAATGAATTTTAAAAATATAACTAATTTTTTGTAACATTTGGCCCGCTAAATTTCGTATCGAAACAAAATCTTCCTTTCCTTCTTCCTTCCTTTAAAATTATTTTTTAAATTTTGCATGTTCGGATTACTGGTATGCCCAGACTACCGAAGTACGGATTACAGAGATACCACTGTGTATTCGATTCCAGAGATCCGCAGACGTCGCATTGTGGAAGGGATAGGAAAGAAGGAGGGGAGGTTCTTTACTCCAAAGCAGCTCAGAGGAGGGGAGACATTAGAAGTTGAGGATTCGCATTAGGCATCGAGTTCGCAGAGTGCTAACGTAAGGCGTTAATAGTGTTCTTATCTCAGCTCTTATCGGCGCCAAAGCGTCTTCTTTCAGTACCTACACCGATTAAATTATATGAATCATTCTTTTGATAATTTTTCTCAGCATAATCGAAAAATACTGGGGGCGTCTACGTATTCAAATCAAGTCTATACCAAATGTAGTTCAATTACAGGCGAATGCTTTGAGGTAAGTCGAATATATCAACAAGTTTTAAATGAGTTAATTGTTATTATATATAAATTGGTGCTTCAATTTTTTTATAATTTATTTTTAGCAAGACATACCACAAAAAATATCTGGTGCTTTTTTAATTTTTTTTTTGTATGCAAACCCTACATTATATACATACCATACATTGTATTTAAATGTTAATTTCTGATTTAATATATTTTTAATTTTAATGGTTTGTTAATATTGGATTAATGACTGCTTTTAATAAAACAAAAAATGGCTCTAATGATAATTATGATTAAAAAAAATTTAAGGATGAATGGAACACCTGAAATATTTTTTCTATTTTCATTACAATTGTACTTTTCTTAGGTGTTCAATAATTCGGTAAATAAAATAGTTTAAGTAAGCCTTCCCCAATTAAAAATTTATATGATTGACCTAAATTTTGATTTGGTTTACTTTATTTTAGTAGTTTTGTGATTACGAATTTTCAAACTTTTAAAAACTTATATAAGTTTTCGATCTTTCTCTTTTTTATGTTTGGTAAACTAGATTCCAGCATGCCTTTAAAACGAAATATGCACTCATATCATATAATGTATGATTTTAGACTATCATTAATATTAATATAAAATATATACTATGTATGATTTTATTACCTACGTTCGATTCAGTAGAAACGTTATTAGCTGTTGACATATACGCAGGCACATATACAAATTTATTTCTGTAATCTCTATTATTTGATATTAAATTCAATTTTATTTTATTTTTAAATCCATCAAATATAATCTCTCCGTTTATATCCAAATTATAGTATTCGATAAAGTATTTATGATCAATTTAATGCCCTGAATTAAATTAGCGCTATTGTACTGAAAAGTAAAAAGAACTCTTTGAATTAGCACATGAACAGATATTGAGATATCTCATCTATCGTAAATATATAATGATGAGCGAAGGTCGTGACAGAAGAAAGTGTGGCAGCACCTCTGGATGTTCGTCTAGGTTCGAATCTGGCCCGGAGGACCAACTTTTATTTTTCAATATAAGTTAGAACTTCTTCATTTGGATAAAATAGATTGAAAAACTGCATTATAAACAATCTTACTTTAATTGCTTAAGTAAATAATGAAATTAAAACTAACAAACAGACCTGATATAACCATTAGATCTAACTGAGGCAAGCTATAAATTAACTATGTTTCTAAATGTCATAATCCACTATTTTTTCAAGCATTAAATATTGATTAATATTACTTACTTAGCCAATTTATTCTGAATTATTATGATGCGATTTATTCGTCTTGGTTGTCATCACTTGATTTATATTTAATTGTGTTAATTTGTTTATTGAAAAAGGATCAATTTAATAAAATAAGAATAAAAAGATAGATATAACATATACTGAAGAATGTAAGGCTTTGAAATAATTTGCATTATTATTTTATTTTAATTCACAAGAGTAGACATAGTGAAATTATTGACCGAATAGCATATTTACTAATAATTTGAACAAGGCTGAAGTTCTAATGGTACTTTTTTTTTAAATAAATACATTTGATTTCTTTCAGAAAGGCTTCCATACATTGGACGATTTCAAGCGTCTTCCAACGTAACCATCAAAAAATAGCAACGGCAAGAAAATATTTTAAGAGACTTCACTGGTATGTTTTTAAAATATATTTAAAAAATTCTATATTTAACATATGCATTTTTTATTTCTTTTTTGTCATAAAATCAATCAGTAATAAAAAATATATAAATTATATAATACTTCATATTTCAAAAAGTAGAGCGATAAAAATGTTTATATATATATATATATATATATATATATATATATATATATGCTGTTATAGAAATTTAATCAGTGACACTTCCATTGCGAAAGTATAAGTGTGGCAGAGGGCAAACAAATTCACTTGTAAGTTTGGATATCACAAACCCTTGCATTATAAGTTTTTGAAGTGAAAACTTCTTTAAGCACGTTTTGCACTTTTTTTGTGGAGAATGAATTAGATTGAGCCGTCAGATCTCCGATGTGTAACCCTCGGGTAAAGTCGGCTGGAGTCGACTGATTGAAGTGTTTTCACATATTAATTAAAATATCTCAGAAACTAAAAATCGGACCTGCATGCTGTAAACAAGGGAATTGTTCACCATTTAAACGTCTCTGTAATGGGCTATTATTCAACATTGTATCTTAACGCGATGCCGTGTTAGAGAGGCGAAAAGGAAAAAATAGTATCGAAAATCAAATGATAACGAGTTGTATTAAAGATATGGATTAAAATATCTCAGAAATTAAACCTGCATACTGTAAGCAAGGGTATCGTTCAGCATGTCATCCTCTTTATAATGAGCTATTATTTGTAATTTATATTTTATATTATTAATCTCGTCTTGTTGATGTTTTCACTTCTTTTGTGTGGTCTAAAGCGCACACCTTAGTTTTTTAAATATTTTATATAACGCTTAAAGCAAGAAACCAACTTTAACTTGATCACTTTTCGATTTCTAAACATTCAACATTTCTCTATTTTAAATCTAAAGTTGAGAACTGTGGCGTGCTCAGTATACCATTTAAAGCCAGGACTTATTTATTTTTTTGGATTTCCAAAAAAAAAAAAGTATTCTTGAACATGACTTCTTTTTTTAAAAAATAACTTTCTGGTCTGATTGAGAAGAAAATGAATGCTATCTTTGTTTACAATAAAGATATTAGTCAATAGTTTTAAAACTATTCAACCGATTTCCCTGCGTTCACAGGTAGCCAATATCCCTCTGTATAAAGTTTTCATATTATTACTGTAACTGATAAATTTCACTTACAATTAGTTTTCGAAAAAGATTTTCACGCAAAATTTTGAGGCTCTACTGATATAAATCTATTAATATAAAATATATAATGGTATTAACTCCTTTTTTAAAGTAGTTTTGCGATAGATGTTTCCGATAAAACTCAGAATTTTACTAAAAGATCTATCCCCTCCCCCAAACATTAATATTATATACATTCGTAAAAAGGAAATGGAAAGTGACGCAGTGTATATTTAACAGATACGATGGGTGGGAAAAACATGATAATTAATAGTATTAAATGAATATGCTATACCGTCTATAATTTTTAATTTCACTTCCCTATATATGAAAATACCCATTTCTACTCTAGTGAAAGTTGTGTGATGCGCGCAATCAGATATTTTTCAACTTAATTAAGTATTTAATTAATAATTTAACGTTTTCGATTAAAAGGTGATCGTTTTAACAATTAATTTAAATTCAGTCTGTTATTTTTCTCTACAAAAAAGTAATTATCCAATACAATTTAAAATATACATTAATAACCTCGTAATTTACGGTGTATTCAATGTACTGACGTCTAGCTGATTATATTGTCGCTTTGCGTCAAATTTACATGAGAAAATACCCAAGCAACGTAGTAGTTACAGGTAAAGTGAAGAAAATTTTTACATAAATATAAAGAAATAAAACGACAATTGTCGTAGTACCAATAAAAAATATTTGTTACCCATTATTTTGTATAGTGGCTGTATTGCCTTTGTAATCCATTAAACTAATATTCATAAATGATATCTGTTATATGCATGCATTTATTCAATAGCGCATCTTTTCGTGATAGCGCTTTGTCAGGTAATTACTTGCTATTTTTTTTGTTTTGTTTTTTCAAATAAAGTGCTTAATTTTTTAAAAACAACAATAATTTTAGATCAAATAGTTCTAAATAAATTGCGTGGTTTTGATGTTTTTTGAAAATTTGATCTAAACATGTTCATGATATTCTGTTTCATAATTTGAAAAACAAAAATTGTTAATATTATCTTTCTTTAAAACGTAAAGTTGTTAAAAAAAAAAAATGAATAGAACAATAAAATGTCAAATTAATCTCATACTAAGCATAAATATTTCGCATCAAAGGATAAAGTGATCATGATAACGATTCAGAGAACGTGGGAGTTCTCAATAAAAAAAAATGTTCCTCCTTAATTGCCATAAATTTAACGTATTATTTTCGTATTTAACGATTTTTTCATGGAAATATTTGTTATCTTTTTGGTCATTTCTACAAAATTGTCGGAGTCTCTGAAGGGCACTTTACTATCTAGTGTCCTACACATCAGTACTCTCCTGGTTTATTTGTGTTATATACTATCAGATGAAAAGTTTAGTATCTGATATGAAAAAAAAAAATCTGGTGTGTTCCCTCACACGATTTTCCTACCTATTTCAGAAAAGTTTTTATATCTTTACATATGTTCATGAAGAAATAAAAAGAATCGAACTAGATTTATTTTCCTGAAAATTGATCAAAGAAAAGATTTGAGTACGATTTATTTGATAAACTAAAGCATGTAAACCGGCTTAAGGTAGATCAGTGTAAAAATTTCAATACTCACTAACGTTGCTTATCAAAAACTTTTTGCCAGAGCTTAGTATTGTCAAACAATAATTTCTGTTAAAAGTAGAGGAAACAGTGAAGATTGTGTGATACGGACAACAGATTTTCTTACTTTCACTTAGTCATATTTATTATCTCATTCACCCCTTTCTGACACCAGGATATGAACCCGTAATCTTACGTTGGAAATTGAATAGCTGTAACTTCGTTAGAATTTTTCCAAAATGAACGATTTTTATATGGCTTTGTAGGGAATTTCATTACATTTAAAACGACAGGCTAAAGGGCGTTTTTTTTCGGGGGCTCTAAAACGTATAGATCCGTCGAAAACCGCATATCGGGAATTTGACCCGATTGCAATACTTTCCTTACCTAGTATAGGTAGAAAAGTAATAAGTTAAAAAATGTCTAAAAAATAGAATAAGCTGTATCAATAAGCTGTAGTTAATACTGGTTCGATTCCGATGATTTTTTTTTGTTTTGTTTTGTAGGTAATTTAATTACTTTTTAAAAGTTTTATTATAAATTTTACCGTGTAATATATTTGACCTGATTGCAATACTTTCCTTACCCAGTATAGGTAGGAAAGTAAAAAAGCTTAAATTAAAATGTGAACAAATCTAACTCTAAATACAAATTATACTTAATCAAACTAGAAATTAATACTAAGGGTCCATAGAAATAGAATTAATATCTGTTATTTTTTCACATTGAAAATTCCACAATCATTTTGCTATGTTTCATGATCTAGGCCATTTTATTTACATTAGCTATGTGCCTATTATATTAGCTGCAACTTTTTTATAGAATGCACTTTTCTATGGATTTTATTCTTGTTGTAATAAGTTATTACTTGGATTATAGATTTTTTAAAGTAAAATTGTTGTAACGTTTAAAACAGGGGTCTCCAAACTGCTGCCTGCAGGAAAGATCTGGTTTGCAAGCACCTCCAATCTGGGCCGCGAAGGGTTTGGTTACATGTTAAAATTTTAAAAATTATATCAGAAATATAAAATTTAATAAACTATTATATATGTTATATCTCTTAGAAAGCTCATTCAACAACTGAAGAGTCATTTATAGAATAGTATATTTTTTTTTATCACAATACATGGCCCGCAGGTCTTATAAGAGGTCTCAATGATGTGACCCGCAGGCCAAAAAGTTTGGAGACAAGGCTTAAAGCATCATAAAATGGAAATAAATGCTACATTTCATAGATATTAAAATGTTCCATTAAGGTTATGATTAACGTGCCCCAGTTTTGGGGTTGTCCCCTTGGGCTGTAGACTCATTTCACCAAATATTTCAGCTTCTTATGGTATCTATAAAGTTTAAAATAATCAGTTGCTTTCACGAGTGTATTGCATGCCCCACTGAACAGAAGGGCAAAGTTGTTTTTGTCAAAGAATGTAATCAAACAATTTTTAGAAATAAATCTAATGAGACTAATGCCAAGATTGTTTGACCACTTCTGAAGGTCGTTCGTGGAATGCTTATCAGGTTGATAAAGTTGAATAACTAAGGAAATTTATAGATGAGTTGACTGTTGAAATTATAAGGATAAAAAATTGTTAGGATGTGCAGTCAAAAATTTCTTTATTCAGTTCCAGTGTAAATTCTTGTCCGGTCTTCAAACCATGGCCCATGATGTTGATGACCCACATATTTGGGTCAAACTTCCGCCAACTCAATAAAGACATTTTTGACTACACATGCTGACAATTTTTCATCTTTTTAATTAACGAATTTACAATTTTAATCCTATTAGTCATTTGGCATATAATTTCTAATAGTTTTTACAACTGTAAATTGAATTAGAATGATTATTCTATAGAAATATAGAGATTTCTATGCTGTTTTTCCATTTATAATGGTCAAGTAATTGATGAAAGAACAATGAGATTTTCAGTTGCAAATTAACGTTAGGTTTTTATGTGGTAGTGGAATCAGATGTAATGCTTTTGGAAGAAATTCTTTGAACTCACAGTAATCTTGATTTAATTATTTTTTTTTAAATTTATTTATTGGGTAATGAAATATTCTTTCTCATAGACAATAATTATAGTAAGGCAAGACTATATCCACACTATATGTACAGAAAATATTAACAAATAGAAAAAAAATAACATCTAAACAATAATAAAAAGTATATACAATAAATAAAATAACTTAAAAATAAGTAAATAAAGAAAATATAGACATAGCTATATACACTGTAAAAAAAGTATAAATTAAAAAATAAATAAATGGATTGGAAAATGAACATGATATTGTTTGGAACTGAATGCCTCAATTAACAAAATTATAACATTATATTATACTTTGTAAGAAATTATTTGTATAATAATTAAAGAATCATCATATAGATCCGAATATATTTTGTTGAAACACTGTTTTAAACTATGGACACTAAATATTTCCCCATAATTGTTATGTAATTGTATATACTTTTTAAATATATATTAATTGTTTTTGTCCTGCTGTATTACATTTTAAAATTGACAATGACACTGTTTCCAAACAAGCAATATTATAATGCTTATTAGAGAGACTTGCAAGTATGCTGAACTTTTTCATTATTATATCTATAACTTCTGTTAATTTATTTGAAACATAAAATACTTCCCCTTAAAAATCCTTCAATAAAGTCTTCAAAGTGTGCCACTTTTTTTTATGTAGGGAATTTAAGAAATTATAATTTTGGTCTCTGATTTATTTACCTAATTCTGAATAAGATTTATTGAGAAACATATGTTATCTGTATGACAATTTTTAGTTTTCTCCTAGATAACAATGGCCCAGACAGACCTTTGGGAAGTGGAAGGTGAAGTTGGAATCACTGTAGATGAAAGGCAGGAGAGAGGTGGTTGGAAAAACCGCTTGGATTTTCTATTTTCTTGTATATCGTTATCAGTTGGTTTGGGCAATGTCTGGAGGTTTCCTTACCTATGTTATAAAAATGGAGGAGGTAATTTACATTCTATGTATCATTAGTTATGGTTTATTTAATGACTTACTAAAACACATTCAAATATTATTGATATATAAATAATGAACACATATTAAAATAAACTAAAATAAAATTTCTTTAAAAAATACATAAAAAAAAATAGCTGAAAAAGGAATGTTATACATAGTTAATAAGAAATAGAAAAATAAATTCCTGGTATGCTACCTTCTTGGCAATTTAAAATGGTGATAAATAAATACTGCATTAAACAGAGTAATTTAGTTTGTATTTGCCAAAGTTTTTCATTAATTTCACTGAGTGATTTATGACAATCAAAGGTAATTTTACAATTTAGCTGTAATATATAAATTAGAAATACTTTTTACACTAAACTGCTGTATTCAGGAGAGAAAACTTTATCTCATCTAGATTCTTGGCAATTTAATAATAACAGAAATCTAAAATATTACTTAAAACTTTTATTATCAAAATATCTGTTACTCCTAGTGATTCTAGTTGTTCTCTAGAAAAAATCTATGAAGAAATAAATTCTTTTCAAGGAAGCTAATGATATTAAATAATAATCAAAGTATTATGTTGATTATGAATTTAATATATATTTTTTCTTCAGTTCTTCATCCGCACCTGTCATGGTAGTGACAATTAGCACATTGGTTGTTAGGTAAAAAATGGCATGATAGGTATGACGAAGAATGGAGCCCAGCAGCACCTCTTCCCTGGTCTGTTTACATCCTAAAATCAGGAAAGGAGATTTCTCATCCAGCTCCTTTTCAGTCGCCTCCTGATGAGCATGCCGTGGCCATGTTTTTGATAAGTCCATTGTGATGTTTTTTGTAGTTTAAGATGAAATCAGGAGTAGAGAGTACGTATGTGCTGGTTGGTTGTCTTAGGTCGGTATGTAAAGTCTTGTTGTTGACATACCAGGGAGCTGCAGTTATTAGTCTTAAAATTTTAGATTGAAAAGATTGTAGTTTTTGTAAGTGAGTCTTTTTTTCTGAAGCGTATATCTGTGAGGTGTATGTCCAAATGGGTTTGAGCAGGAAAGTGTATGTATTTAGTTTTTGTCTAATTTTAAATTTTGCTTTAGAAAACAGTGAGTATAGTATTTTCAGTCGCTTTTTTTTTTTTTTTTTCACAGTCTTTCTTTTCATTTTGACGTGTGGGCTCCAGGTCACCCTTCTGTCAAATATTAGTCCGAAGTAGCGTAATGTCCGTCTGAGGAATTGGATTGTTGCTGATATAAACTGGGGGGCATGTTTTAATAGCCATGAATTTAATATCAATTTTAAAAATGTGCTACTCAGAAAAAAAAAGTGATCAATCGTAATACAAAAGAAAGCAAGTTTATTTAAAATTAAAAGTTTATTTAAATAATAAGAAATAGTATCAGTTTGTTTGAAAGTGATATCGTTTCTTAGATGGGAGTGAGGCCAATTTAATAGCTATGACTAGATCTCTTGATCCATTGGACCAAAGCCAATAATCTGGTGGGTTGAGATCAGGGTTTCCTGAGGGCCAATCTGAGGCAGAGATGATCTCTGGAATGTTCTTTTGCAGCCAGTGCTAAGTTGACCTTGCCATTTGAGCTGCGTCAGAATCCTGTTGGAAAACCCAATGACTTCCAGCAAACAGAGTATCATTTAGAGGCTTAACAACAGGTTCCAAAATATCGTCATGATAGTTTTTAGCAGCTGTTTTAACTCCTTTTTCACAAAAATGGAGCTCTGTGGTGCCATCAAAGCAAGCTCCCCAACAACAAAAAATCACTGAAGAAGGGTGATGAATTGTTTCTTCCTCTTTCCTCTTTTCCAATGACTTCCTGGGCTTTTTTAGAGCTGTTTGCGTTCACACGATCATTTTGGCGATTAAATTTTTCTTCTATTGAAAAATTGTTTTCACCGCTAAACAAAATCATTCGATGAAGACCATTGGTGTAATGGCCAAGGATCACCTTGCATCGATCCACTCTAATTTTTTTTAAGAAATTGGTTAGCCTTTGATCTGTCATTCTTCAAAATGCACCCATCCTAAGGTCACTTTATATTATGTAAGACATTGATAAGACAGAGATTAGCATTTCCTGTGACATCATTTGTTATTTTCGATGGGATTTCTTCTGATTCGAGCAGCCACTGCTCTCACTGCATTTGCTGTTCTCACAGTGTGGGGACGGCCCAGTTAAGGTCTGTAACATTTAGATAGGGTCTCATTATATCTTTCTATAGTGCGGTATATGAACATATGATTGATACCCAAAGGTTTCAAAGTGTTGAAAATCTGTGACCTACATTTTCCAACTTTGTATAAGGCAATCACAGCTGTTCGGTTTTCTTTATCATCCCACTCCATGTTAACTAATACAAACTAATTGGGATTATTATACTGAAATGTAAAGAAAATAACATGATAAAAGTAAGGATTATCTAAATAATACCCAAGGATATAAACAAAGTTCAACTTTTGTAACATTATTTATTTATTACTCATTATTTAACATATATTTGGAAGAATATATAAATTAAATATGGGAAGAATATTGGAAATGATATGTATACATAAGAAATCAGTGACTAGTGAGATGAGAAGTGGTTGGAAGACTAATAGATAAATAGATGACATAACAAAAAATGTTAATATTTTATACTTAATCTTAACATTATACTTTTTAACACAACAAAACAACTCAAACTCAAAAAATGTAGTAGAAAAAAAAAAACTCCACGAAAGCATCAAAAATATTTCTTCTTGAAACCTGAAACAAAATTCAAACTTTTAATAGTGGTTTAGTTGATTTTACTAATTCAATTCCAATAAAAGCAGGTCTTTAATGATTAAAAAATAGTTTTCATATCTATAAATTATAAATTGTCAGGTTAATGTAATTGTAGGATGTTGCTCTCATTGATTATTAAAGTTTACTTAATAAATCTAAACGTTATTTTATGACAATGATTAGTAAATTTTTTACAGTACAATATATTAATGTTATATTTTAAGAACTTGTTTAAATTATGTGGAATTATTGAAGCAAATAACTGTTCTAGTAACTTTAAATTAATTCAGAAATAATACATCAGTCAATAAATTATGAAATGTTGCTTATAAACTTCTTTTTTATTAAGACTTGTTATTTTCCCATTGAGATATGTTTTAGGGATAGTAGTGTCTATGAAGAGGTTAAGAGAAACAAAAATCAGATCACTTAAAGAATTAAAAATATATATAATTTTTATTAAATATATACATATAAAAGGAAGAGATAATACAAGGAAGAATTTAATTATTTAAAAAACAATCAATTTTATAGGTGCCTTTCTTGTTACCTACAGCATTGCTATGTTTCTTTGTGGTATTCCTCTGTTTTTCCAAGAGGTGGCAATTGGACAGTATCTAGGACTTGGAGGAAGTACATTTGTTGGACAACTTTGCCCAATACTTCAAGGTAAATGGTGTCTTATTTGAAATCTTATGATGAAATATTAAAATTCATCAATAAGTTATTATTAATTAATAAGCTTTTTTCAAAATTATATATATATATATATACATATTTTTTTTAACAATATAATTTTAATATTGTTATTATCATAATATTCTATTGGATATCATATACCATATCATATTGTATCATATTATAACAGGACGGACTTGATATAATAGACTGTCTTGATTCCGAACACGTAGATTGCATTGTTCAGATTATCAAAGGTTTGGATTATCGAAGGTTAAATTTAAAATGATGGAAAACTTGCTCAAAGTAACGAAAATGTATTTATTATTAGTAAAATATATACACATTGCAAACAAAAAAATTATTTCTGAAAAAGATCATTTAATGTACGTTCATTCCCTCATTTAGTTGCTACAGAAAATGCTTAATCTCACAAATTCCTTAAAGGTACCAGTTTGATTGGTTTGATAGTCAATGTTGTATACATTTGTCTACTCCAAGCAAGTATTAAATGCCTTTATGGCGTTTTTATGACTTATATATGATGAAACATAAAATGGATGTAAGGAAATTTTTCGGTGAAATAAAAATCAATATAAAATACATGTTCCATACTTGCTTTAGGAATTATCAAGCCAGTCTTTATTGGCATTAAAGTTTGCTTTGTCATCCTTCTTAAAGAATTATTAAAGAAAAACTTTGACTTTTCAGCAAATATATCATCAAAAATTGCGTAGCCTCGTGATCTCTGCTGTAAAAAAGACATGTAAAAAGATTCCTCAACTTCTGAATGTACTCCTAGTTTTAATGTTTTCCATTTAGAGACACCACAATACAATTTTAACACTAGCACATGAAGCAATTCCATTAATATTTACTGAAAAACAATGCTATTTTAATTCAATCTCTTGTCAACCAATTTTAATTTTTTTTTTCTTTCTTGTTTGGATTATCATGACTGTCCTGTACTTTTTAAAATAGAAAAAAATTTAACAATTTTTTTCCATCTTATTGTTAATGATTTCCTTATACCATTATCTTATAAATAAAAAAAGTCATGAATTTTTAAATCAATTAAACAAAAATTAAAACGTAAGATATATGTACGGCTATCAAAAATATATCATACATTCACTTATTTAATGATGGAGGTAGGGTGAATTAGCCATTTTTAATATATCAATTATTAATATTACCAATGGTATAATTTTATGATATCTAGGAAGAAAGAATATATTTTTTGGTTTCAATTTACATTATAGTTTTAATATTTCAGGAGTTGGTTACGCTACAATGACAATGGTCTTCTTCTTGGACCTCTACTATTGCATTATTATAGCATGGACACTTTTCTATCTCATTAATAGTTTTACTTACTTCCCAGAACTTCCATGGAGTAAATGTGGTATGTTCAGTATTCTATTTTAAACACTCTCCGAACTTATATTGAAATGTCTTGTATTTATTAATGCTATGTATTGTAAAGACCGCCGGTGGAATAATTATTTTAAATGTATAAATAAACATCATTAGTGTTCACCACATCTGGCGGTACCTGACTGAGGGTAACCCATTAGGACAACCTTTTGTAAGTGGTAATAAAAACCCTTAAGGACCACCGACAAAGACCGACAACTAAGTGTTTAAAAAGGATCCCAAAAGACCTTTTCACACCTTCCACCAGAAATACCTAAATCTGTACCTGCTGCTTTACCTTGGCCTGGGGGAGGGGGTGTGGTCATCCCTTCTGTTACAAAAATTGAACCAATGGGAACAATTCTTGCCCCTACCAAAAGAGAGGGGATGAAAAAAAGGTGGAAAATATAGAACTTGGACGAAGAGACTTCTGTTTGGAACTCGGAGAGGAGAGGACTCCTTCTGGGAACTCAGAGCTGAGAGGAGGAGAAGCGAGGGAGTCGAGGGAGGAAGATGAAGACAGCCGGAGAGAGCAGATGGACGGACTAGACGCTGAAGGAGAGCAGAGACAGGGAATCCAGATATGACAGCTAGAAACACTATGAAGGACCAGCTAAGTGGTAACAAGCGTTTAGTTATACTAATGTAAATTTGTGTTGGCAACCATACATCATTAATTAATATAATAAATATAACACGTAACTTTAATCAAGCATCAAGCATTCTCCTCTAGTATGATTCTCAACTAGTCATTATGTATATAGGTTTAGTTATTATTTTGTATATAGATGGTTTTGGTTTTATTTAAGCTTGTAAATATAATAGTTAGTAAACCAACGTAGTACTTTTACATTCTACCTTGCATGCCACCAATTAGTAATAGAAACAAATAGTACATTTATAAACATGATACCTTTAGAAAGGAAATCCAATAAAGAGTATATGGTTCAATCTAGGATACTACAGTAGGGGGTCTGTGGTATCTAACATTTCAATACAAATATAAGTATTAAATACATTTTAATACGAATAAATGCGGTTCCTGGAACCCCTTACTCGCCGTAGAAACGCGAGGCCAGGAACACAGCATTTAAAATGGCATCCCATGTGAAGGACGTATCATTAAATTTACTATTTGTTTCTAAGATTAAAATAATTGATTTTTTAGAATTTCATTCCTATGATTAATAAAGGTGGCATTGTAATAAGTTGGTACTAAGAATCGTACAAGAGGGAAACATCTTTGATTTAATTTAATTTGGTTATTTGAATGTAATGAAGTTGGTTAGTTTGAGATAATTTAATATATATAAAATGATTGTTAAATGTAATGACTGTAAAGCTTGATTGAGTGTTGTAACGTACAAAATTTAGTTAAATTCTTTCCTGCGTTGATTTAAAAACTATGCTGATTCTGCGGTTCAATAATTTGTGTCAAACCTATTTTTAATATCGAAAAATCTTCACTCTCCTATTTAATGGTCTGGTATTAAAAGTGGCTCATTTTCATTGTGGTTTATTATTAATGGGATATTTTTTAAAGGTATTGGGAATTATTTTTATGATAGCGTTTAACCCCTTCCTAAAAGGTTAAAATAGGTATTAAATTAAAAGGGATAATATACGCACATACTTTTAAAGATGGCTCTTAGGGTAGAAACAGAAATACTACCAAAGCCTAAACGATCTGAAGCAGTAGCTGATCAGAAAACACCCAGAAAACCAGAACTGAGATCAACTGAAGAAACAGTGATTCAAATCCCGAAGAAAACCCAGCCACAGGCCAATAAGAAGATAGAGGATAATTTTAGTTTAGGAGGAAATAACATGTTTCTAATACTCCTTCAGAAAATAGAAGAAGGCAACAAAAAACTGCAAGAAAATCTAATAGACTCAATGGGTGAAAGTATTAGGAATGCGAAAAGAAGCCTAATGGAATCTATAGACAGCACATTCACTAAAGCAATAGCCGAGATAAATAAAAAGACAGGAGGAGAAGAAGAGGTCAGCCAAGAACACCCATTGGAAGAAAATCAAACAAGTGACTTTGAAAATGTTGAAGGTCAAGAGAATGAATGTCCTGAATCTGAGCAGGAACCTAATGAAGTTAGTGAAGTGGATGAACCTGTATTAGCCGTACACTCCTTAGGCGAGAATAGAAAAATTGAAGATGAAGGAACTACCTCCGAGGAACAAGAAAGCGAAACCTCTACATTAGATAATGAAAGTCTTGAATCTGAAAATCTCAGAGAAGATATAAAAGAAATCAGTGAAAAAGAGGAAGGAATTAAAGAAGCCCAGGAAGAAACGTTGAGAGGTTTTGTATTAGGTTCCATAAAGATCAGAGAATTCTTTTTTCAGGTCGATAAGGAGACCCACGAGATCGTAGAAATTAAAGAAGACTATATAGGCCCTCCAGCTTTAGTCGAACCATCCATATCAGCACGGACGTCTCCGAAAATAGAAGGGTTTAGCGAAAAAAGATCATTGCCATCAGAAACCGAGACAATTCCCATTTGTATTAAAGAAGAGGAGGGATATAAGGATTATAATTATAGGCATGCAGAATTAGAGACAATCCTCATTTGTAGTTTAGAAGATGAGATATATAAGAGTTATATGGCTCTGAACCATGTTAGGACAGGCCGGTTAAAATCTTATTTTAAGCCACGGTAGTCTTTGTCCCATTCCAGAGGGCAAAAAGGGGTTTTTTAGCGTCCCTTCCGTTGACGAGCTAATGGGTCCTGGCGAAACCATCGTTAGGTTACCCATTCTGGATACTTGTAAATTAGTTGTATATAGTTACTTGTAAAAATAAGTTGTGAATAGGATTTAGGATTTAGATTTAATAACCAATTTTGAGGGCTGAATGGAAGGAATCTCAGGCTGAATCGACTAAAGTAAATTTTAAATTGAAGTAATCATACTAGCTTATGATAATAGTTAAATTAAAGTAGAGGTAAAACCTTTTTAATAATAGATTTGTGTTACTAAACTTTTATTAGAAAAGAAAAAGGGAAGGACCGAAAATAAATCATTATTAAATAAAGGGATAAAACTTTTCATTTTAATTTAAATGTGCAGTGGCCAGATTGATGGGAGTAAAACCGAGTTATAATTATGTTACGGAATATTGCCGTAGTTCAAAGTTACCGCAGACGAGCACCCCAAATTAACTTCTTAAGAAAAATTGGATCATTTTCTTTTTAATCCAGATAGGATTTAATCTAAAGGAATAGGGAATAGTTACCCTCAACTAGGAGTAGACATAGGTCCTCCTCATCACCCGTAGGGTTGATAAATTTTATATAAGGGAGAACCCTTTTAATGGAATAGCTGTAGTGCATCCATTCATCACTAAGTGTGATAAATAATTAGGAGAAGATAAAGAAATCTTCTATAACTATACCTCCAGAGTACTGAGGTAGTATGTGTATGGATCCAGAAGTTAAAGGTTTAAAAATTATAATGGTAAATGGGGCTGAAGTAATATACTTCATTATTATGATGTGCACATGACTACATTTGAGGCAAATTTAACGGTTTATAGCGGCCACGTGTAAGGAATGGATGATTCATTCATAGTTAAATCATAATTGAAAAACATAAGATAGGAATTGAATAGTTTTTTGAATAAATAAAATATTAATAGGTCATTGAGAAAACGAAGTCGCCTGAGGTTCATTTGAGTTAAATCTCATCCTATATTGTTCATAAATAAATTTTTACTTTTCATTCTGAGATCAGATAGAGGAAGCCTATTGTAAAGGTATTGATGAATAATATCTAAAGAAAAAATCAAATAAACAAGTTTATTAATTTTTTCTTTTCCCCAAGACTAGGAGAATGCTATGTATTGTAAAGACCGCCGGTGGAATAATTATTTTAAATGTATAAATAAACATCATTAGTGTTCACCACATCTGGCGGTACCTGACTGAGGGTAACCCATTAGGACAACCTTTTGTAAGTGGTAATAAAAACCCTTAAGGACCACCGACAAAGACTGACAACTAAGTGTTTAAAAAGGATCCCAAAAGACCTTTTCACACCTTCCACCAGAAATACCTAAATCTGTACCTGCTGCTTTACCTTGGCCTGGGGGAGGGGGTGTGGTCATCCCTTCTGTTACAAAAATTGAACCAATGGGAACAATTCTTGCCCCTACCAAAAGAGAGGGGATGAAAAAAAGGTGGAAAATATAGAACTTGGACGAAGAGACTTCTGTTTGGAACTCGGAGAGGAGAGGACTCCTTCTGGGAACTCAGAGCTGAGAGGAGGAGAAGCGAGGGAGTCGAGGGAGGAAGATGAAGACAAGAGGAGAGAGCAGATGGACGGACTAGACGCTGAAGGAGAGCAGAGACAGGGAATCCAGATATGACAGCTAGAAACACTATGAAGGACCAGCTAAGTGGTAACAAGCGTTTAGTTATACTAATGTAAATTTGTGTTGGCAACCATACATCATTAATTAATATAATAAATATAACACGTAACTTTAATCAAGCATCAAGCATTCTCCTCTAGTATGATTCTCAACTAGTCATTATGTATATAGGTTTAGTTATTATTTTGTATATAGATGGTTTTGGTTTTATTTAAGCTTGTAAATATAATAGTTAGTAAACCAACGTAGTACTTTTACATTCTACCTTGCATGCCACCAATTAGTAATAGAAACAAATAGTACATTTATAAACATGATACCTTTAGAAAGGAAATCCAATAAAGAGTATATGGTTCAATCTAGGATACTACAGTAGGGGGTCTGTGGTATCTAACATTTCAATACAAATATAAGTATTAAATACATTTTAATACGAATAAATGCGGTTCCTGGAACCCCTTACTCGCCGTAGAAACGCGAGGCCAGGAACACAGCATTTAAAATGGCATCCCATGTGAAGGACGTATCATTAAATTTACTATTTGTTTCTAAGATTAAAATAATTGATTTTTTAGAATTTCATTCCTATGATTAATAAAGGT